CCCACCTATACTATTTATTAACGCACTAAGCCGCGGTACTATAAGCTATATAGTAAGCTAACGAGTCTTCTAGTACCTTAGCGCCCCTTTATAGAGATATCTATTAACTTTATTACGGGCCTACCACTAGTTTATAGCGCGACTATAGATAGGAAAAGGGACGCTATCCTTATAGTAGTATACCGCCTAATAAAATACTCTATTTATATCCCTATAAGTAGTGCCCTATTGTAGAAGGACTTACTAAGTCTTTATAGTATTATATTTTCCGCACCTTTAGTTTACCCGATAGTATCGTGTCTAATCGCGGGGTATTATTTACGAGTCGTTTTTAGGTATGTTTATATCGCTGCCTCGGCACTACCCGACGCCTATCTATAGTATAATACCCGTAGACGGATAGATAGACGGAGCGATAGAACTAAAACCTTAAGTATTACCTATATATATTCTATGCGTAAGAATAGAATAATTAGGTTAACCGGTTACCGTTAGTAGAATTCACCTATAATATAGCGTGGCACTCTACGATACGCTATACCCCCGCCGACGCGTTAATAGGATATAACCCGAGGGGACTTAATAAAGTATAGCTCCTAAGGGCAGGCGAGGTTTATACTACTAAAGCCGAGCGCCGTGCGGAGTACCTTATAGCCTAGCGCCGATCCATTTCGGACCTTATCAAAAGGGCTTAGGCTTCCTACGAACGGTATTATAATAACGGTCGTGCCTAGTATTCTTTTAAGGTCGACGAGTATATCCTACTATCTATAAAGAATATCTGGTAGAAAAGACCGTCGAAAAAGCTTAGCGATAAGTTTATTAGTCCGTATAAGATAACTAAGATTATTAGTATATATAGCCTAGACTACTAACTAGAACTGCTAAGGGGTATAAGGATTTATAATATCTTTCCAGTTTCCCTACTAGAACTATAGAGGTCCCGCGATAGGTTATAGCCGGAACCTCTACCCGTGGTTAATATCGAACCGGATTCGGATAAATATAAGGTCGAAGCTATCCTAGACTATCGATATCAGGCTAAACGGCGCTAGTACCTAACTAAATAGGCCGGCTATAGCGACGAATAAAATACCTAGGAGCCGAAGCGGAATATTCCTAATAAACTCGTTAACGCCTACTTTAAGGCGAAACTATCCGGGAACTATATAAGTGTATACACTAGTCCTATAGGGGACCTAATAGAGATAATATAAGGTTATTATCACGTATTCTCCCCCCCTCCCCCTTCTAGTAGACGGTATTTTTATAGCGAGATATACCGGGAACTAAACGGGATTATACACTATTCCTATAGGGGACCTAATAGAGAGAAGCGTCTATAAATGGGCTAAATTAACCTAGTAAAACCTTTTAGTAGGTCGTGGAGATACATTCTTAGGCAGGGACCCCCTCTTAATCTAGACAGGAACTATATAGGCGTTATCGCCTTAGTTACTATTTCCTTCCTTTAAGCGTTCTACTCTCGATCTATATTCTTCTTCTTAAACGTAATACTCCCGCCCCTAACCCCGTTCTTATCTATTTAGTATAATAGCTTATCGCCTTAGGGTTCTACTTTTCCCCTTAATTAGCCGTCACAATTAAGATATAATTAATATTATTATATTGTAGCGAAAGCATAGTTAGGACTATTAGGGTTATAATAGGAATACCCTAAAACTAGTTAAAAAAAAGGAAAAACCTAACCCGAAGGCTAGTGAAAAACCTAAAAAAAAATAACTATTTTCCTCTATATATACTATCCTATTACTTCCCTAAAAGAGCGTCCTTAAACCCCACTAACTTATCGTCTAGAGGGGTAGGCTCCCGCCTAGCTACCTTATTACTATTATCCTCTATATATACCTAGCTCTGCCCCGTAGTAGTAGCCGCCGTTCCCTCCTTTTACCTACTACCCGCGGATGGTATCGAAGGCCGAAGAGATAAAGGCGTTTTCGCCTTCTACTTCTTCTTCTTCTTCTCTAATCAAGGAGTTAAGGGCGTTAAAGCCTTCTTCTCCTTTTTTACTAATAAGGCTAGTATTATATCGTTATTATCGGGCACTTCGTAAGGATCCGGGGGACCCTAGGGACCTTACGGTATAAAGCCTTAAGGTTACGTAGAGCTACCGTTACTAAATATATTATCGTGTATAAAGCTAACCCCCGCGGGGGCTAAGGCAGGCTCTAAGGGTATAGCCAGGTCTTCCTAGGCCTAAGCCTCGGCTAGGTTAAGAGTAGCTATCTACTTAAAAGTAATAGCCGTCCGCTCCTAGGCCACGAGGTCGCGCTTATATAATATAAGGCGTTATTATTTAATATCAAGGCGTTTCTACTTAACGGCTAGATGCTATTACTATAGCCCAACGAATTACTTAAGGATCGACTCTATACTATTAAGCCTTTTATGGATATTTTCCGCCGATTTCTAATAGGCGTCGGTAATTTCCTTAGCTTAATGCTAAGTAGCTATAGCTTCCTTAGTAGATAACCGGTTAACCTTTAGCGTCGCTTAATCTAAAGCCTCCCTAAGGATAACCTAGTATCGAACTACTATAGCCTAGTACTATAAAGGATTAATAAGGGTACTATACAGGGCTAACGAAGGGATATAGTAATACTTACACCGCGACTCTTATTTAGGCTACCTTTATCGATAGCGATAACTAAAACCTTTGATAGCTACTGGGTAGCGTTCTTACCGGTAATAGGAAGCTATTATACGTATTAGACTAATAGGACTACGGAGTAATCTATAAAGGGAGGGGCTATAAGGATTAAGTAGTAATAAAGATATATAACTTATTACGCGGCACTTTAGACTATTATACTTAGAGTAGTAATAATTCTTATTAGTACGCCGACCGTTATCGGTATATCGATAGATTATAGCCTTAATAGTATATGTCTTCTCTTTAAAATTAATCGCTACTCGCTTACCCGTATAACATATATAGGGGGCCCTTAGATCCCCGCCTATACCGATATCCACTACCCTTTAGCGTAAAGCGACTAACGGCGTAGTAATCGATATTAAAGGCGTAGCCGTAGTAGAAGTAGGAGGCTTTAGTATAGCCGGCTATAGCGTAGCTAGCTACGGGGCAGACTACCTAGCGGACTACGAGGATAACGCTATGGCCGTGGTCTTAAGCCTCTTAGAAGCTCGCGTTATACTTATAGGAGTAGCGGCGCGTTTATTATTATTATTATCTTTCTAAGAAGGTATAGTGACTATACTATATCTTATAGTTAGCTAGTATCTTAGACTAAAAATATAAGAGCACTTATGAAATAGTAGTTAATTAATTAATTAATTAAGTGAAACTATAAACTATTAGTACGCGATACCTTAGATTAGGTAGAACTTATAAGGCGTAATATAATCGAAAATTAAGTATAGAAGGGGAAGAAAAGAATAGGAAGAGGGAGTAACGGTAGGTTACGAGATATCTCCCCTAACGGTAATTATATAAGCACGTATTTTTAGTATAAAGAAAGAAGCTACGAAATTCACGGAAGGATTAATATCGGGCCTTATGTAATACCACGCGAGGGAGTCTTTATAGATAGATAAAAAGGATAACCTAGAAGGATAAAAGGGTAAATCCGAAGGCCCGGGAAGAAACCACCCTAGAACCTATTAGGAGCCTAGCGTAGGATATTAGCTTTAGTAGTTTAGTTAATAGGATACAGGGAGGGGGTATATATCCGGGTTAAAGCTATAGCCGAAAAGGCTTTATATAGGAACCCATCGGGGACCTATCAGGGTCCCGCTGGAAAAGCTCCGGTTCGGGGCACTAGGGGATTTAGGGACGGGCTCGGAGGTTAGGTTCTAGAGGAGCTAAGAGGCCGGTATAGATTAGGCGCTCCTAAGAATAAGGGTATCCGGGGGAGGTCGCTATATTAGGTGTCTATAGTAGTAGTTATAATAGGTCCTTAGTATAAACCTATAGGGGTCTAGGTATACCTAGTCCGAGACCCCTTACGGTATACATAAAGTAAGTTATTATATAGTACATAGAATAGTCCCTCGAAGTAAATAAGGTAGCCCTCGAGGAAGTAAATAAGTAAGCCCTCAAGGAGTAAAGCGTAGTCTTAAGGAGCGAGGGAGCCTCCCCCTTTTAAAGGGGAGGCTAACGATTAATCTAACTCTTTAGCTACCCCTACACTTTCCTTATCGTGATCCTATTATAATCCTACCTGGTTCCTTACTTAACCCTACCTTTTCACTCTTTACGACTACCCATTTAACATTCTGCTTATCGGATAGTATTCGAAGCTTAGAAGTTAGTTTAGGAGGTTAAAATAGACCTTTAAGGAGGGGGAATAGGAGCGTTAGCGCGTAGATAATCCTATACGTTATTATTAATAGTAGTAGCCTTATAAAGCTATACTAGAGCTCCTAATCGCGATAGATTTTATATATAATAGGCTTAGAGTCCGATATCTTAGTTATAGATCGACTTGCTATATTAGCGTGGCTAGATAGCTTCTTAATCGATAGTAGTAAGGGTAAAGAGTAGGTTTTCACTTAGTAATTAAGACTATTAATTATTAGATAAAGCGTAGTCGAAATTGTTATAAAATAGGTTAAAATCAATTAAGGTAATTATGTATAATTATAACTGTGTCAGGACCGTCAGAGAATTCCTGCCACTATAATATCCGTAGTAAATATTCTACAGGTGTCTACCCGGATTATAATCTCGGCAATCCGGCCCGTTACGTCTATTCGACATAGTTCTTATAGGTTTGCTATACTACTACCCTTATAAATCCCCGTGGTTACTAGCTAGTTATATTAGTTTGTACACGCGCTAACCTACCAAACCTTAGTAGAGGTGTACATCGATATCCGGCACCTGACGCTGCGCTTCAACCCCACCAACCCCCCCCGGTAGGTAGTCGCCGTTCCGGTACTCGTTGCAACAGCTTCACCGCCAACCTCGGGGGGGGGGGTTTTCTTTTTTCTTTGACACTGATATCCCGAAGTTGCATGTCCCGGCCTGGTCTATCGTCCTTTTCACAGTGCTACCTAGGTTTGCAATAGAACACGTTCAGATATATTCTCAACCGTCAGAGATCGATATGGACAAAATCCCCGCGTCCTGCTCTGTCCCTTAACAAACCGAGCATCCTATTGTTCTCTGCCAAATCCTACAAATTATTAGCTCTACTACAATGTATTCTGAGGCTCTTTCCCCATCAGCGATTACTGCCAGGGCACGGAGCTAATTCGTATTATTTGTGTTGATTTTTTTTTCCACCCTTTGACACGCCACAGTCTCCTCCTGGCCAAACAATCACACTCATTACTTTTGCTGTCTGGATGAGCGACTCAACTACTCCCGGCGACACACCCAATGTCGCATCCCGTACCCATGCATGCCATGTCGAGATCCTTTGGCCTCGCTTACCCGTCGCCATCTCCACATCCGTCTAGTCGACGGGGACCCCGCACGTCCACCTTCTCACCAGCACCCTCGTCGGCTCAGAGTACGCAGACATCACAATCTCCCATCGGTGCCAGGCGCCAGGAGTTGGCTTCGCCCGGTTCATACTCAAGCAGAAACTGGGTGCTCTCCGGGCGTGTGAAAAGAAGAGGATCACCATGGGCTGATCGTTGTTTGAATACTCTGGGTAAGTTGGAGCCCAGAGTCGAGTTGGAACACTTGAACAGCACGGAGGATGAAAAGCGACTGTTTCCTGCTAGCAGGACATGGGCGGATGATGAGCTGAGGCTCTTCGAGATACTCTATATGAGAGGGTATAGTCCTCTTCTTCCAAAAAATTGGGATATGGACTTTCGAGGCATTCCAATGCCGGACATACTGTTTGCAACCGCGGAAATTCACCAACCCATCATCTCTTCCCGTTCAGGGAACAACTTCCGAGGTAAGAATACTTTGCATCCTCTGCATGGAACCCTTTGGGTTTCCGGTCCTCTGACGCCTTGCAGCCACTAGGGCCCTGATCAGGCTTATGGAACTTACATCCAGCGTCCGTTCGCTCATGCAGACCGGACAGAAGGATAAAGCGCCTCCCTTGATCCTCAGAGAGCTGGAGGAGTATGCCAAGTGGGCTGCACAAGATGGAGGTTATGACAATCTGGACATCATCCCGAACATCGTAATCGACATCGTGGACACTACCAAGAGCAGTGTCGAGCTTGAACAGTATATGCAGCATCGACTTGCCTCTCTGGCTGCCAGGCATCGCAAATACTGGCGCATTGACTCGCCAGCCGACGATGGATTCGCCGATCATCGGCCAGCCGTGCCCGGGCGATCCTCAACTTCTGAAGCCACGCCATGGAATCGACGTTTCCGGGACCCGGGGAGTGCGGTTACGAGGAACGAGTTGTCGACAGCCGAAGCACGGACTGCACTCGACAACGACTCTGATGCACGGTCAGATGCTGCAAGTGGTGAGCGTATAGGTGAACCCGAAGTCGAAATCAAAATAGAAGATGATGAGCTTTTTGCTCGCCTTGAGCTTCGATATACTCAGCGGCCCCCGGTGTTGTACGGCATGTTCATCATACACAGCACGGTCCTTGTCCTGTCCACCGACTCCGCCAAGGAGGACAAGGATGCAACAGTCAGCTACCAGGTTGAGGTGGCTTTCAATGTGAAGGATCAGGGTGTCTGGAATGCCATCACTATAGCTATAGTCATCTGCTTAGCAAGAGACAATATGGTCACTATGGCGAATGACTTTGTTCAGTTGGTGGGGAGCCCTCAGAGCGACCCCGACGCCTAAGCCGACTTGAGGTCGCTCTCTATTCGGTTGTCGGCCAGGGTTGGTCAGTGAAGGATATGTCAACCCGTTGGAGTGTACTGGACAATATCAAGGCCTGTCTGTGTTGCATGCCATGGGAAACGCCATAGTACGGACATTCAGTGCAGGTTCAACCTTGGAAGGATATGGATATCGACTTGTTGCTCATGAGTTCACGATTTTCAAAATGGCGGATACCCAATTGTTTGTAAATAGTTGCTAGGTGGTCTTCTCTGTACACAATCACTTTCGCTTCCTATAACGAGCGACTTGAATGCCCTCTCCAGGAGCCATGAGTCTTGATTACCGGGGTTAATCCTTCTTTTTCCTGTAATCCGCACATGGCTAGCGCCAGCGTATTAATGTTTTGGTGAAAATATTTTTGGAGCCAGATTGAGGGGAAACTGCCTTTTAGTATCTAAGAAAAAAGGCGTGCTAATTAAGTAAGAATAATAGGCCGAGAAGTATCCTAGGCCCTATTTCTTCGATTACTATAAAATAGGCTTTCCTATCCTAGTCCCTACCCTAAAGGTGCTCTTTTAGATATCCCGTATAGTTTACCCTATCTATATCGTTAATCCCCTTAATCGCGATACTACTTTTCCCTACACGGCTCCGTAATCCTAGCTTTTCTATAAGGTCTAGTCGGATAGTAGTATAACTGCGCAGGGACGTTCCGGTACTAGAAAGTTAAAAATAATAATTATGATGGTTAATCTGTAGATAGATGGATGGACAGGGGAAAATCTAGATATAGGAAGATCGGATGAAACGGTCCTTATATAATCCGGATCGGTCACGTGCATCCATTTGGCCCGATTGACCGGTTCGGACCAAAAGGTCCGACTGACCTGATTAGTCAGAAATTATACAGCCGACCTAATTGGATAGATTGTCCCTAATAACCGATCTACGCGGTTATAATAGGTGTCGCACGTTAAAATGCACTCTTCTGACTCTTCTGACTTGGGGGAAATCTTTGCGTGTGTTTATTATATAAAGTTATAACGTGTACGAGACCGTTTGCCCTATTTGTATAAGGGGCAGTACTCCTCCGGAAATACTGCTTTATTTGGATCCTATCCAGTATTTTACCATGGGTCCACCCTTATGATTTCCACCCCCGATGCCTATGCCCACCCCCGAGGCTCGTGCCAATGCGATAATAGGGCCCTACTAGGGCGCCTGTATAGATAAGTATTTTGCCCGTAATATAGTGGGGCCTGCCTAGTATAATTAATAATCTAAGTACTAAACCATTTTATATATACACTTTAGATACCTAAACACATAGATATAGTAGTAGAGAGTTAATTAAAGGGTAAACTAAAGTACTATAATAACTATCACGAACTATCACGATAACCCTAGGATTTAAGAATAGCTATCACGGCCTTAATTTCCTCTATCTCCTTCTCTTCTTCCTGTCGACTAAGCGTCTCTTCCTTAGCGTGTCTTACTAACGTATCTAATTTACCCTTAAACTTAGCAGAAATAAGCTCTAAATTATATTCCTTAGAGTCAGGCTCGAGTTCCTCGTTAACCTCTGCTAAGGCCTCGAAAACCGGGGCAAATTACCGAGGTGCCTATATACTAGGCTTATATAGGGTTAGGGTAGGGGGCTATTATAAGTAGGAGGGTATCGTATCGCTCCTCTATAGCCGGGATTTCAAAGCTTAAGGGAAGCCGTTTAGTACTATTCTTCCCTTCGCCCTTCTTCTTTCCCGTGCTAGATATTATAACGGCGCCTTTTAGACGGCCTTTTCCCTGTACTACTATAGGTTTAAGGGGACTAACGGCAGGAGGCGGAAGCGTAAGAGTAGTTATATCCTGATAATTCGATCGCTAATACCGATTAATTAACGCTATACTAAGCGGTTCGGAGTTGTGGTAGTAGTTAAATAGCACGTATAAGTAAGGTAGGCCGAGGAAGGTTATTATAGCGTAAGGACTATAAGGCCCCGGTAGCTACAGTCGCGATAGCTTCTTTTAACGTACCTTTTCTATAGTAATAAACTTAATCTTAAGCTATTCGAGTGCCTATAGGATAGCCTCTTAATTAATAAGGCTAAAGAGAACTCTAGCTATAGGAAAGTCCACTTTCTTAATTCGGTGTTACCTCTCTAGAACTAGATCCGCTCGCTAATTACTCTAGTATAACGTTACGCTACGGAAAATAGTTACTAAGTCACCTATAAAGGAGTGGAGATACCGTTTAAGGCTAGCGTAGGAAGACTTTACCTGTAAGGATAGATAGGTTAATATAATCTTTCCCCTTAGAGATACCCGTCTTATTATCCTTATTGCTAGTAAGGAATAAGTTAACGACCGACCTTATAAATAAAGCTAGGCTAAGTTGAAGGAGGAAGAGAAGCGTCGAGAAAAGGAGGATTTAATGAATCTAAGTATCGAGTAATAAAGGGAGGACGGTATCCTTTGTAGTTTGTCCGGGGCCGTTACCTTAATATTAAGTAATAATAGGACTAGCGGTTCGCCCGACCTAAGGGCGATAAAGGAGGAGGAGGATAAGGAGAAGAAGAAGAAGAGCGATAATAATATTTTCTTTTATTTAGATAATAAAAACGCTACCGCTTTAGTAGCCTTTCTATTTACGGAGGAGGTAAAGCCCTTAATATAAAGAATTTACTTAGTCTAAAGGGCGATACTACGAAATTAGGGTCGAGGATATAAGAGATATATTGCGGAGGTCCCTTATATAATAACTACGATTATATAATAATAACTGATTTATACTGATTCCTTATAATTTTGACTTTTCTATACTATTAATAGCCTAATTACCTTAATAGCTACTTAGTCTTATATTTTTAGAAGGACCGCATAATATAGGATAATTCCTAAATAAAAGCGCTCGAGGCTTTAAAGATAACGGAGGATAGTATTACTAGTATAGCCGCGGTTATAATAAAAAGGATATAATAGCCTAAGAAGAGGAAGTCCTAGGATCTCCTTAAAGAAGCGTACTATCCGCTTAATCCCGAAGTCATCTTTACTATATAGAAGCCTAAGGTTCTTAAGGTTTACCCGCTTAACGACGTTCCGTCTAATAGAAGTATCCCTGATAAAGACCCCTACTAGAAAAAGAATATCCTCGCAGAAATTAAGGAGGAAGACTAGGAGCTAGAAGATAAGCGGTTTATTAGCCTAATCATACTAAAGTTTTCTAAAATTATACCCCGTTCGCGCCTTATACCCGAAAGACTTAACGCTAACCTAAAAGCTATTAACCACTTAACCCTAAAGGAAAACGAGATCCTAATAAACGCCCCCCTAAACCGCGAGGTGGCTATTTTATAAGATTAGACTAAATACGACCGCCTTAATAAACGGGTAGCCCCTTTATAGAAGATTCGGGCGGTTCCTTATAAGGCGACGGAGGCGAAAGGGATCCCTATCTCTAAGGCTCTAGAGTCTATAGTTATACAGGTAATAAAGGACCGCTTTAAGAAAGGTATAATCGAGGAGAGCTTTATAGCCTATTATAACCCCTAATTCCTTATTAAGAAGAAGGATAGTAATATACGATTTATTAACTCGGCTACTAAGATTAACGTAGTAACCCTTTAAGATACCTTTATACCGTCTAGGGCCGATAAGTTCTCCGAGGATTTTGCTATATATAAGCTTATATCCCTTCTAGACTTTTTCTCTGGCTATGATTAGGTTACCCTTAATAAGGAATCTTAAGATCTAACCACCTTTAGAACTATTATTAGACTTTTTAGGATATATACCCTTTCTTAGAGGGCTACTACATTAGTGACCTAGCTAATACGTATTATAACCTATATCCTTTATAACCTTATTCCCTAGTACTATAGACCCTTTATTAATGATATTACTATAAAAGAACTAATAAGCACCTATAAGGATACCCTAATTAGACCTAGAATTTGTCGTTATATAGCCTAGTATATCGCTAATATCGATAAAGTGCTTCTTACTATAAAGCTAGCTAGAGGGCACCGTTATAGAAGTTAAAAGCTAGTAGTATTAAAAAGCGGCTATTAGCGTAGGATATATCCATAGTACTAATAGTTATTCCCCTAAATACGCTAAGATCGCGAAGGCCCGAGAGTAAGAGAGGTATAGTACGGTTTTTAACGTTTATTCGTTCCTCGGACTTATTACCTTTTACCGAGTCTGGATTTATAAGTTCGCTATTATTAGTAAACCCCTAACTAACCTGCTACGGAAGAATACTATCTTTAATTAGGAGGAGCTATAATAATACACTATAAACGCCCCTAAGAAAGCTATTACTATTACCCTATTCTGATTATTATTTAATATTATCATTAGTATTATTTATTACTCTGCTCTTGCTTAGCTAAGCTAGGCTAGCTACCTGGGTAATAGTCCTTCTCTAATTTTTGAGGGGAAACCGTTAATAGATAAAAACCCCTACGCTCTTATTATATAAGGAAGTTCTGTTATACGTGGCCGCTACGGTATCGCTCCGCGGTCCCGTTCTTATCGCTATTCGAAAACCGGATCATACCTCTGGGCTAGTAGCTAACGGGGGTCGGCTAGTTAGTTTAGTCGGTGCTATATCGGGTCGCGCGCGCCCTTAGTATAATACCGCTATAGTTACTCGCCGCTATCCTTTTCTTATTCCGGATCCGGCGAGGTTATTACTCTCCCCTCCGTGGTACCCTTTATACCCTTCCTCCTTTTTATAAAGGCGGGGGCGCGCCTGCCCCCCCCTTACTCTTTTCTGTATTTATTATTTATTCCTAAACCTCTCTTATATACCTACTATTATAATAGTCCTTATATAGTTATATACCTCCCTTTCCCGAGCTATATAGGCTCCCCGGGGTTAGTACTATAGAATAGGCCGGGTATAGCTACCGTTTTCTAATAGGTATAGTAATATATAAGGCTAATCCACCGCCCCCTTTTCTTATAAACCTCCCTCTCTTCCTCTCTCTTTTCTTTTTTTCTTTTTTTCCTTTTTCTAAGCCATTATTTTTAAGGTAAGTTTCGCTTAGTCGGCACGGTATAAGTACGGCCCTAGAGTACTCCTATACGGGATCCCCTAGTACTATTCGGTTATAGTATAAGGGATTCTATAGGGTCCCGGGTTATACCGTCCTCGCGCTATTACCGCTCCGTCCCCGTAACGCCCGCCTTAACCTAACTCTCCTACCCCCTTAAATACCCATAAATAAGACCGCCGTTATTAAAGGGGGAGCCGGTTCCGGCGCCTATAAGGGTAAAGGGCCGGCTACCCCTTAGTTCTTAACTATAAGTCCCCCGCGCTATTATCGTAGCGCCCGTTGTACGC